CCTTATAACTTGTATTAAACCTGGAGCATTCATATGAACAATATGAAGTATAGTGATACAAATACGGTTAATAAATTCTTGTATGAAATTCAAGTCTTTTTTAGTGTTTATATGTTCATATACTAATGGCACAATAGTCACTTATGCCAAAAGAAAATAAGCATCTGAATATGTAAATAGGAGAAATGTAAAATAAATTGGCCCTAGTGTCTTCTATCTATGATTTTAGCAGACACTCTCTCACCGTTCTCCTTCTCATTCATGATTCTCCTCAGCACTGTCTTCTTGTCCTCAAGGGCCAGAGCACACTGCTCCTTGTAACTGCTCTCCAGACCGGCCTCATACTGCCTCACAGCCTCCGAATGCCTCTCCTCATCTCCACAATCCTGATGAAAATAATCATAATACACACACACATACATCACTCATAAAGTATAAGACACATTTTAAGATAGGTAGATGGTTGCATTCTGTGGCTGTACAGGTGCAGTGTGCCACCTGAGGTTGCAGTGAAGCAGCAGCAGTGTTCGTGTCCTCCAGCAGCAGCGCCTCCTCCTGCAGGAGCTCCAGCGGTCTGCCGAGCCGCACGTTCTGCCGAGGCTGACGGGCCAGAGAGCCCACCAGAGCCCCGATCACTCCCACAGATCTGCACCTTTTCATGTCCGACACCTTCCACAACAGAGGAGTGGATCCGCAAAAGCTGATGTCAATCAAAGCATCTTTTGATGGCTGATGCTCACTTTCACTTTTGGTATCCATATCCTCTTTCACTTCCATGCTTGATGATGACTGTTGTGATAAATTCATTCCTGCTGGATCCCCATCCATCACTCCTCCAAAACACACCTGGATGACTATCGACTTTTGACTATGACTAACTTAATCGGCTCTATAATGCATTTGCCTAGACTTTTTGTATTGGTACTAAACAGGGTAACAGTAAATACCTAGTGATCATACGAACTGATTATACACGAAGCAAATTTAAGTAACATGCATGCACTAATGACACAGACAGCCTAAAGAACTTATGGTCACGTTCACCTCGCGTTAACTCCACATGACTGTTAATTCAGAATTTCATCTGCTGGAAGACTTTCACGCTAAAAAGTAATTACAAAAGAAAAAAAAATCGAACAAAAATCACATTTCGCTTCGCAACACGCGTTCTCTATACACGTTACTTCCCTTGCGAAGCATACCATGTGACCGAGCTCTATTTGAATAGCGGTCGCCATCTAGTGGTCCTCTAAAAGTGACACGTTCGGTTAGCTTTACTTGCATGTTTTTAAAAAAGCTTCACATGCCAAAACATTGGTAATATGATATAACTAATATATATTTTAATAATTTACAAAGTCACATGTAATCTCCCTCGAAAGATCCAGATGTTTTTAGCCGCTTTTTTCATGTGGTATCTGTTACTTTTTTCATCGCTGTTCAGGATGAACCAATCACACAACTGGATATCAGTTTTATTCAATCGTTTTAGTATTCCCGTTTGAATACTTTTAATAGGTTTAAAATCCTACCGCTTAATGAACAAACGTCTCCTATAAACGGAAGGGGGAAATAAAAACATCCTGAAAATATAAAATATTGTATTCGGTCTTCAGAGCCACCGAGCGCTCTCTTGTGGACGGAAACGGTTTCCAATGACAAAAGACACCATTTGTTTACACATCCACTGACCGAATTTATTCAACACAGAGTATAAACAAATATTAAAAATGGTCAAAAATCA